GAAATAAATCCCAGGGCACAGGAAGTTTTCAAAGCTTCTCAGTAAATGTAACTGCTTGTCTATTTTTGGTTTATCAGGAAAATGGGATTAGAGGTATTTTTACATTTTTCTCTAAAAAAGATGTATATATTGAGTGGAAATATAATCTATTTTGCTTTCTATTGTTAAAAGTGATGTTTTTACTTGAAAACATTGCTGAATTATACAAAATAAATATTGGCTAAGTGATGTATAACAACATTGCAAATGTAGGTAGACTGTACACTACATAGTTTTTGCTCTAATTAGTTTTAATCTGTGTGCATATAAATTAGTAATTGCATGCACAAACATGCAGCTTCACACACAATTCCCAGTTTTCATGAGTGAATGTGACTGCAAAAACTGGTGCACCCTCAAATATTTTAGGAACATTTTTAGAAGACTTGGAAATAATTTTCTTATTTCCTAGGCCCCAACTCCTCTGCTGTGCCCAGTCTCCGCTGGATACAGCAATGAGGAAGGGCTGTCAGGACCCAGCTGTAGTTACCTGATCCTAGGATTTTTTTTGTTTTTTTTGTTTTTTGGCCAGTGTAGAGTAGCCTGAAGGCAGCTATAAACTCTGTCAACTTGTAACAGCTCTCACCAAATGCTCTGCTAGTTGTAATGGGCAGAAATCAGTACACTCCAGCCCCCCCAAGGTACGCCTTCATAGGTGGCGGCCATGCAATGGTAATTAAGCTAACAAAGTATGACTGCTAACAATTCCCCCACACTGGTTCTGCTCACTTTGTGCCACTGGAGCGGGGTAAAGGGACCAGGATCTAGCATCTAGTGTGTATGGTCCACTCCTAAAAGGTGCTGAGCACTCGTAATGCCCAGTGTTTCTATAAATTGCTATAATTGAGCAATATATGCTATAATGCCACAGAAAGCATTTGCCCATGAGTCTACTGTTCAGAAAAGAAGATAAAAAGGGTGATTGGGGGGTTGATTTTATTGTTTAGATATAGTTAGTGCTGTGTCTAGTTTAATAGATGGGGTAAGAGAAGTTGTTTTTTAAAAGTGGAGACATGCCTACTTTAACAAACAGAATTTATTAGATCCTGAATAATAGCAGAGAGTGATTATTCTACAAGACAAATGATTATAGCTTTGGAGTAGAACCATGTACAACAAACACAGGAAAAGTTTCTAAACCACTTAAAGAGGCTACACGTAGAGACAATTATTTTTTTGACCAAGTGTTTGCACGCACTCTTTTTTGATCCAACTTTAGATGTCCGTACTGAATTTCTGCAGATAAGTCAGTTTGATCTGTATACAAAATCAGCTATCAATTTGTATGTACAAATGCTTTTTTTGTATACAAGTGTCACAGGGCACCTGTGTTGCTACCTTGTGAACCTCACTGCCAAGCCAGTTCAGATGGTTTCACAGTCACAAACACAAACACACACCGGGCTGTTTATCTTACACCAAATTATGTATTTATTTCCCTCTTCATAGTAATACAGGCTTACAACAAAGGTAGGCTTTTCTAAAGCCCTCCCCAGCCCACACTCACCCTCTGAGCTCCTCTTGAGCGGCCCTTGTTTCCTCCCATTATATTCTCCCCCCAATTACCTTGTTAGCCCAATGATGGTCACCCAGGCTGCAGCAATGTCAGTGATCAGGGTGCTGCTCATAGCATCCTGTCACAAGAAGTCACTTTTTGCACAGACAAAACTTTGTCACATATAATTGTATGTCAAAATATGTGTGTGCAAAATTACACCCATAGTTCTAGAGCAATGGATACAGCCCTTTTGAAAAAGTAGCTCAACATATGAAGTACCTATGGTACTGAGACCAGAGCCAGCAAACTTTGCTCATATGACTAGTCCTATTGACTTCAGTAGTAGTAAAGGGGTTTAAAAAATCAACAAAAGCATGCAAAACAATTTTACCAAATTTTCACTTACAGTGGTTATTTCTTAGCACAAAAGTAATATGAAAACAGGCTTGCTTGAAACTTTTTAAAGAACACATAGATGGACATAATTTGTTGGGGAATAGTTAACATGGTTTTTGTAAAGGGAAATCATGCCTCTCCAATCTACTAGATTTTTTTGAGGGGGTCAGCAAGGGGTATCCAGTGGATATAGTGTATTTAGATTTTCAGAAAGCCTTTACAAGGTCCCTCAACAAAGGCTCTTAAGCAAAGTAAGCAGTCATGGGATAAGAGGGAAGGTTCTCTCATGGATTGGTAATTGGTTAAAAGATAGGAAACAAAGGGTAGGAATAAATGGTCAGTTTTCAGAATGGAGAGAGATAAATAGTGGTGTCCCCCAGGGGTCTGTACTGGGCCCAGTCCTATTTAGTGTATTCCTAAATGATCTGGGAAAAGGGATAAACAGTGAGGTGGCAAAATTTGCAAATGATACAAAACTATTCAAGATAGTTAAGTCCCAGGCGGACTGCGCAGAGCTACAAAAGGATCTCACAAAACTGGGTGACTGGGCAACAAAATGACAGATAAAATTCAAGTTGATAAATGCAGAGTAAAGCACATTGGAAAACATAATCTTAACTATACGTATAAAATGGAGTCTAAATTAGCTGTTACCATTCAAGAAAGAGAGCTGAAAACATACATTCAATGTGCAGCGGCAATCAAAAAAGTGAACAGAATGTTGGGAATCATTAAGAAAGGGATAAATAATAAGACAGAAAATATCATGTTGCCTCTATATAAATCCATGGTACGCACACATCTTGAATACTGCATGCAGATGTGGTCGCCCCATCTCAAAAAAGATATATTGGAATTGGAAAAGGTTCAGAAAAGGGCAATAGAAATTATTAGGGGTATGGAATGGCTTCCATATGAGGAGAGATTAATAAAACTGTGACTTTTCAGCTTGGAAAAGAGACGACTAAGGGGGGATATAATTGAGGTCTATAAAATCATGACTGATATGGAGAAAGTAAATAAGGAAGTGTTATTTACTCCTACTCATAACACAAGAACTAGGGGCCACCAAATGAAATTAATAGTCAGCATGTTTAAAACAAACAAAAGGAAGTATTTTTTCCACACAATGCACAGTCAACCTGTGGAACTCCTTGCCAGAGGATGTTGTGAAGGCCAAGACTATAAGAGGGTTCAAAAAAGATCTAGATAAATTAATGGAGAATAGATCCATCAATGGCTATTAGCCAGGATGGGCAGGAATGGTGTTGCTAGCCTCTCTTTACCAGAAGCTGGGAATGGGCGACAGGAGATGGATCACTTGATGATTATCTGTTCTGTTAATTCCCTCTGGGGCACCTGTCATTGGCCACTGTCAGAAGACAGGATACTGGGCTAATAGACCTTTGGTGTGACCCAGTATGTCCGTTCTTGTGTTAGAAAGATGGGGGAAATGGACATGATATTAATGCTAATTGAGTTTCTGCTGCTAAAGTAAAAAAATCTGTGGTATGAAAATACACTAAAATTAAACAACTTCAGCCTCTGTCATTCATCATATGTCACTGGAAATGTTGAAATTACTAACTAAACATACAGATTAAAATAAAATTGTGCATTACAATGAGTACTGAGATAAGAAACCTCCACACCGTGATTTTTTTGTGAAGCTGTAGCTATTTTAGTGATGAATGGGTAAAATCCAGTATGAAAGAAATAATTCTTCTGATGAAATTTATGCCTACTTCAGTATACTCTCTTCAGAGCCTAAAGGGTGGCTGCATGTTTGTATAGGTTCCTATATACAAGTGGGTATGGGTGTCTTCATGTTAGGATACTGGGCTAATAGACCTTTGGTGTGACCCAGTATGTCCGTTCTTGTGTTAGAAAGATGGGGGAAATGGACATGATATTAATGCTAATTGAGTTTCTGCTGCTAAAGTAAAAAAATCTGTGGTATGAAAATACACTAAAATTAAACAACTTCAGCCTCTGTCATTCATCATATGTCACTGGAAATGTTGAAATTACTAACTAAACATACAGATTAAAATAAAATTGTGCATTACAATGAGTACTGAGATAAGAAACCTCCACACCGTGATTTTTTTGTGAAGCTGTAGCTATTTTAGTGATGAATGGGTAAAATCCAGTATGAAAGAAATAATTCTTCTGATGAAATTTATGCCTACTTCAGTATACTCTCTTCAGAGCCTAAAGGGTGGCTGCATGTTTGTATAGGTTCCTATATACAAGTGGGTATGGGTGTCTTCATGTTATAGGCATGTCTGTATGTGTTTCCTTATAAAGTTAAAGAAATCTGAGCTTCATTGGCTATAACCTTGGCAGAATATAATGTATTTCCTTTCCTTTCTTTTCCTTTTCTTTCGTTTCAATCTACTATTTCCAGAATCCACTGCAACATACAGACTCCTTATATAGCTTTAATTGCTCCAACAATGAAGGGGTTATGAATGTAGCAACACATTTTTAAAGCTCTTATAGTTTTACTAGTTGTAGTTCAACATCATGGAAGGAAACAGCACCTTCCCCCAGTAAAAAAAATCTAACTTTCCTATGGCACACAGAAGAGGCGGTGAATTCATTTCTGTGATTTCATAATTGTACTTTTAAAATTTGCAGTAAAAACACTGTTACAGGAAATAAGTAATAAACCAAAGAGAGTAGTTCAGAAAATCTCTCCTAATGATGGAAATTTATCAACATATTTCAGGGGGTAAAAGAAGATCTCTGCAGGGAAAAGGCAAGAACCTCAAAGAATAATATGAACCAGACTTAAAAATGGAAGTTAAAAATACTCAAGACATGAAAAGTATGAGTTAAGAAGACAGAGGTGAAAGGTACAGCTCAGAAAGATTCAGCATGTGAACACACAATGTGCTGCTTGTGTTAATGAGGGGACTATATACAGCAGTTAGCATGCTGGTATTTCAGGGCAGTGAAATGTGAGATAAAATGTGCTCCAGGGATAGAGAATGTGGAAGGAAAACAAACATTGCACTTAAACCCTTTACATACAAGGAATTTTAATGATGACCCTATAGCATAAGTACTTAAGTTCTTTAATTAATTTATGAAAAAGTAATGGTACATGCATTTGTTTTTACATTTAAACACATTATATATGATTCATATCCCAAAACACAAAAGCAAGTGTGTGTGTGGGAGGAGGGGGGGCAGGGGATCAGGGAAGATGACAGCCCCACTATCTCCCCTGTCCAGTGACCTGATGAAAGAACTCTCCAGAAGTACTCTGCCTGAGATCAGAGGTGGGAGAGGTGCCCAGCATCCTTAGTCCTGGTAGGTCATTTTGATATATTTTTTTAAACAACTCATTAGCAGACCATGGGTCTGAGTAGGTAAGGCTTTAGTAATTCTCATGAAGTATTTGGCCCTCACAAGGTGGTGGAAGGATAAGGTATGAAATTGCTAGAATGGGCATCACAGGTATTCATATCACAGTAATACATGCACTATATAAATATATATATATTTTCAAATGGTATGGTGTAACACTTGTTCTGGAGTGACTATGCTAATGGCTGTTTAATTTCTGAGTATGCCCAGATGTTTCCAGAAGCCTGAACAGACTCAAATTGTTCATGCATTTTTTTTTAAAGTGTTGTGCCTTCTCTTCTGCCAAATAAGCCTCCTGAGTCTTTACTCAACATTGCATGGTCAGATTTAAAAAGAAAGAGAATTTTAGTGCACTCTTTTACATCACAACTCTTCCCCATGCAACACTTTTTGCAGGCATTTGGTTTCAGGCTCTCCAGAGGAGGCAGAACCTTTCTGAGATTACACTGGCCTACTACAGAATGATGTGGTACATTCATGTCTTCATACTGTGGCAATTGTGCCCCAGAAGTAACTATAAGAAATTCCAAGAGAAACAGTATTAAGTCTTACATGTTATATTGTTTGATTTTATGAAAATGAACACTAGTAACCAATGCCCGAAATGTAGGTTTTAGTATTGCCACTTTTTAAAAACAAGGTTTCGTATTCAATATAAATGTTTTAATTCAATTTAATAAGTATAATTGAAAGGAGACTTTTGTTTGGCTTTAAGCATTCACTGACATTTTTTGTAATCTAAGCATTGCGCATGAGAACCAGGAAGCAAAACTGACTAGCAATGCACATTAAAAAAAATCTAGTTTATTTTTATTGTACAAAAAGTGAAATACAAAAAGTAAACACAGAATGGGGAAATATTTCTAACATTTTTGAGTTTTCATGCTATTTATTATTTTAAGGCTATAACTTCATGCTCTCCCTTTAAACTATATATTCAATGGTTAGAAAGGCTGTAATATGCCTTCATTTATAAAGCCACATAATGTAGGGATTCACAGACTTTAGAGATTAGCTTTGCATGTCTTTCATTTAAACTTTTGCTGTTCATAATCTATGAGTGGGTGAGGAAGCATTAATGACAATACTTTGTTCTCAGAGCTCCTGATAACTACGGTGAACTCTTTTTACTCCTGTTCTATATTTGGGGAAATGGAGGCATTTCGAGGCCAAGTGATTTTTTTTTCCTCCTCAAGCTTAGAGGAGGCTAGTGGCAGAATTTGGAACAGAAGAGAGGTCTTCTAATTCCCCGTAGTAATCACTAGACACAGTTTCCTTCACAGTTTATGTGACTATAAGAAGTTGAATTTTGGATTTTTAATCACAACTTTTTGATATTGAGAACTCAAGAAAAATTAAACTTTGAATGAAGGCTCCCATATTTTTCCTTTTCTCATGTTATATCAAATCAGGAAAATATATAATTGACAACTGCACATTTTTACTTTTTTCTCCCCCATCAACACAGATACCAAATTCATTTTTTCGTGAAAGGAAAGATGTTTTAAGAAATACCATTTGTGAAATGCGCATATAAAATCTTACAATTTCAATCTTACATGCAGAAATTCAAACATGATCTATTTGGTGCATCCTACCGCTCCCCACCCTATCCCCATTGCTTCTTTATTTCACAGAGTCAACAAATTTTATATTATTATTTTCCAATTCTTGAGCAAATTTGGTTTTAACCATAGTATGGGTCAGGTGCTGCTTCCTTCAAAAATATGACTCAGCCACATGTAAAAACTTTTCCGGTTAGTTCTCAAAAGAAGATATTCTAATTACATGCAAGAAGTACCATATTTGTAATCTTTGTATCATATATGTGTATATCTGCTGTGATCCAAAATACCATATGTTATGTTAAATATTGGGAATAAAGGGGAAAAAGTAATGAGGACAAATTGCTTGGGACATTGAACTTTCAGTTGTTGCAGAGGAGGTTTTGCTATTTCACTACAAAATTACATTTGCATTTTCTGTAAACTTAACAGCTCATCCAACCAACATTACCAAAAAAAACCCTGAATATAGACAATGATAGGCAGAAAATTTTGAAACAGATCATGTTATCTTTAGAGCAAGAAGAGTAATGAAAAAAAATCCATAATTATTTTAACAAACTAAAATTTGTTGAATTTGTCATTCAGCTCAAGATTAGCATTTTATTCAGCACTGAATTCAGAATTTGTTTATTTATTCATTAGTTCTTAAGAACTCTTCTGAAATCTGTATGAGATACAGGCAAAGCAAGCTATTGTTCTATTACGGTTCAACTACTTAAAACTATATATGCACAAAGGCAGACATGTGGAAGCCAGAGCATCACCCTTTACTCCTTTCTATGTAGCAACTTGCAAACACTGGTCTCCGGCTTATTAGGATCATAAATATCTGTGTGCCAATCTTTCACTGTTCAGCTTCTAAAGAAAAGCCTTCATGACAATGTTGTATGAAGGTACTAGGTACACATTACTTCAACCTTTCTAGTAATTGTAATCATGTGTTAACTTGTCAATTTCTGAAGCTCAGTCATCAGCTGAATTGAAAATATGGAGACAGTCATCACAGTTTTGTGTTGTTTCTACCTGCTGTCATTCCTATTGAATTTCAGGCTTCTTGTCAATTTCATACTAGTGCTGAGTGCAGTGGAACTGACAAAGAGCAGTATGCTATCAGCTACCCAAACAAAATGAGACAGGTTTAGCAGAGAAGTGAAGCCTCTCCATTTAGGTATGAATTTTACATTATGTTTCTGAGGCTACCTGCTGTCCTAGTCAAAGTCAAATCAATATTGATTTCAGAGGAACTCATGCAAGATGCTGGCACTCGACATAGGTGATAGAGAAGGCATGAAAGCAGGTTTTAAAGTAGGTGCAGTTTTCACAATCTTGGGTTAGTGTAAGGGCCAGATTTGAAGGAGCTGACGTCAAGGAAAACTGAAGAATGCTGATTAAAGCAGTATTGGACCTGGAGCCTCCTTCAGTTAGAGCACCATGTAGTAAAGAACTGATCCTCATCTGCATAGCAGGGTGGATAAACTGTAGGTGATAGGATTATATTTTCTTCAGTAACTTCATTTCTCCATAAGAAAAGCTTTTCTTTATTCACTTTGTATCTCTTTGTCTTAACATTTGATGTTATTAAGAGCACAGACAACTGAATTCTACTTTCCCCATTGAAAATTGTGCCGATGATCCAAATGGGGTCAGTGCTCTGGGTTCTACTAACAGGGTCGGCTGTCAGAGTTGCTGTGGTGGTGGCTGTGAGCAGCATCCTCAGATGTACAGTTACAATGGGCCGAATCTTTTGCAGGAGGAACAAGGAGGGCCTTCTACACAACTACAGGGCAAGGAGTTTCTATGTATTTTACAGTGGCAGGGTAGCATCCCTTTCGTTATGGCAGGGAAGGCACTTAATATAAACCCTTTGTCTCAGGCAGTTTATTCTGAGAACAGGCATTTTTGAGCTGAGGAAAGGCCACCAGAACTGCTGGGCCCCTTGCACTGCAATCTTAAGGCCTAATTCTATATGGTGTTTAACACCCTTGCATGGAAAAGAAGTGCTTGAAGCACCACTCAGAACATATTCCTTGCCTCTCGAGATCTGGCAGAAAGGGCAGCATATTGCTAGTATCTATTTTTATTTTTTTTTTATTACCAACAAAATTATTTAGCCAAAAATTTGGAAATTTCAAAAATTTGGAAATGCATAGAAGTCAGTTTCCCACACCAATCACCCTGCGTACATATTTCAAAGCAAATTTTAAAAGCATCTGCCGTCATGCAAAATACCATATATGGATAGTGGGCTGAGTTGGGGGTACTGAAGGAATTGCAATTTTGAATTTCTTGATTTTTGTGAATTTAAGAATAATATTTTATACTTAGGAAGAAGCATTTCATCCAAGCAGCGCAAACTTCTTTATAAGCATTACATGAATAAGCTTCACAACACTCCTTTGAGGTAGGTTCCACAAGTAGTAATATTCCTATGTGGCAGATGTGGGAGGCAAAGAGAATTTCACACTTGCGTGCCTAAATATGACTGTGGGCATCAAGATTTAAGTATCTACAAATCAGATGCTAAGGCCAGAATTTTCATAAGATACTAATGATTTTGGGTGCCTAACTTGACAAAAAAATAAGGATTCTCAAAGGGCAGGCAATCAGCATTTTCTGAAATATCAAAATCCTTTAAATGGTCTCAGATTGAGAACCCAAAAATTAAGGACCCAAAATCATAAGTGTTTTCTGAAAATCTTGGTCTATGTCTCTAAACGTGAATTTAAGCTCCTAAATCAATGGTGGAGTATCCTGACTCTTGTTCTAACAGTTAGACAGTATTCCCTCCCTTTTCATTTAAGCTCTCAGTTTTAATGTTGTATTTTGTATATATTGTATTGATTTCATTTAGTTTTAGTTCTCCTGTTGTAAAAGTTCATTTTCGACTTTGTCTGCTACCAAGTTCATTTTGCAATCCCGAAGGGCTTTTATTAAGTCAGCAACCTTAGCTTCCTTTCCCTTCCATTTCTGCCACTCTCGAAGTGACTGCATCAATTGTTCTTGCAAGTTATAAGGACTGGCTGTTAGAATTCTGTCAATTTTTGTATCGGAAATTCCTAATCTTCGAACTAGCATTTTCCAGTTCTTCCCAACATTGTCACATATAACTTCAAAAGCTACATTCTGCTGACCTGAAAAATAAACAAAATGGAAAAATCCAGTTTATGCCAAATGAATGATTTACGAAGAGACATTTACAATGTGCATTTCTCTATTAATTCTTACTGTATAGCTACCTATTAAGAATCACACTGTCACAGTAAAGCCACTGGATGTGCTGAGGGCAGTGTAGAAACACCTCAGACCTGATGGAGTTTCCAGAAGCCTTGCGTCATACAGTGACAAAACTTCTCCATGAGTGCCAGGGGAGCTATGCTACCCTTTCTGAAAAGCTGGTTGCAGCATGTACTCCCTCACCCTCCTGCATGTGGCCAGTGCAGAAGCTAGTGTATGGAATTCCATGTGGCAGTTTAGAGCCAGAGATAGTACTAGTTTGGAAGTCCTTGTTAAGAGTAAGTGAGACTCAAATAATGCATAGTTCATGTACTGGCCTTTTGAAGAGGGGTAAATTTCACCACGAAACTATTTCCAACTATTTGAAACATTATTCACTTTTTTTTTTTTAAAGAGTGAGGCAGACCTCTGCTCCAAAGTATTCCCATGCAACAGTGTTAGGGGTTAGATTGAAAGATTTCCACATATACCTTACTTAAAGAAAACCCCATTTATCAGTGGTTCCCACAGTGTTAGTTTGCAAAATAAAAATATGTGTCCACCTACGTTTTTCTGTCTCATCTAGATGGTTGACAACATCACCTTGTCCACCTTCTATGAACTCCTGTAGTTGGATTATCAGATCTTCTCTTTTAATGGTTTTGATCATGAGCTGGAGAAAATCTACCTTCTCTTTTGCAATCTCCCGCTGTTCAAGGAGGATGAGGAAGAGATCAATACCAGCTTTGACGGACTCAAGCTTCCTTTTGCCAATTTTGTCCAGGCACAGAAATTTAAGGGAAGAGAGATCATGGTCAGATAAACTCATGGAAAATGAATGCAAGAGAGACAAAAATGGGTCCATTTGGGTAAGCCCTGTGAAAGAATATCAAGAAAAAATATTTTGTGTGTAAGAAAACATACAGGAAGTCTCACATGTTGTTTGCTTTCTACTTGCCTAGGAAACACCTTTCATCAGAAGCTAAAACTTTCTTTTATTAAATATACAAGTTCTTAAAAACAAAAGTAAAGCTCTTTGGCATGATTACCTTCCTGGAAGGCAATTAACATTAGCTATTTCTCTACAAACATTTCTTACTTTCACTTTCACAACGCACTGTCATTATCAGTAACTAAAATCTTATACTTTCCAAAGTTTGGAACAAACTTCAATATACTTTCTCCAAAGGAAATCAAATTGCTGTTATGAACAATATGTAAAGATATGTTTCATTTCATAGGAGTTGCTACTTACTTCCTGGTTTAATCTATGTTGCCCTGAAAGCCTAGCCGCGATGAAGAAAAACTTCACTGTGCTGAAGGCAGCTTTCTTTTACACAGAGATCTGCCTGTCACCGGAAATCACATGAATGAATGATGCAAACTTTTCAGCCTCCGGGAGTGCTCTATTTTCAAGTGAACACTAGATGGCAATACCATACAACTATCTATCCTACCGTATACACACACATACCCTGAATACTAGTGCCATGTACACACATAGTACTGAATAAATAGATCAAAATCTGTAGTCTAAAGATCAACAGAAGAACTGTCAAAATGGTTCTAAATTATTATGAAAAAGCAAAGCAATTCAATTATATGTTAAGTAAAACATCACAGTTAAGGATTGTGTATATATTTAAATCAAATCCTTCCCCTTAAGAATTGTATCAAGAGTAAAAACTGATGTTCAAAAATATAAAAAATAGAAAAGAATGTGAAAGGATTCAGAAGTTTTACTCTGAATTATTATGGTAGCTGCATAAAGGTTTATTTCACACTAAAAAAGTGGGACAAATTTATGCCTGGTGTAATTCCCTTTAAATCAGTGGATTTACATTAAGAATTAAGTTAGCATATTCTTTTTACTAATCCAATAGTAAGCCCTAATCATAAGAGAATCACAAGCCTATTTTCACACCTTGCTCAGTTCTCAGCACCTAAACTGAGATTGAACTATGACATCATGTTGAAACTGAACCCCTGGAAGTGTACATGGATTTTTCAGTGTAGGGGTAGATAAATTAGAATGGGGTAATTATGGAGTAAGTCAGGGTGCTCACTGTCAGGATGCTCACTGCTAAGTACATTGTGCCTATTCCATATAGTTTCCTGCAGAGATTAGTGTTTAGGATATTGACGACACAGAAAAGTAGTTGACCAAATTCAGAATAGATATGAGGGCAGATTAAACCTTATTTGAAAACTATCCCCACAGTGAGGAATACATAAAGTTAACAGAGTCATTTTATGTTAAATTATGCACAATGTGTGTGTTTGGTGTAAACATTCAGTTCACTACCTGCCTCCTGCTGCAGGAAAAAGGGGTCTAGCTGCTTGGCTGGTTATCTGTGCATAGTTTCCTGCAATTTGAAAACATTTGTGAATGGTAAGTGTTTAAATAAACCAGGGAGTCTTGGGATAACTAGGCCCCCATTTGCTGAAGGATTTTATGGCTTCTGGTCAAGTTTAGCATTTACATAGTGCTTTACAAGCTATCAATCGGCACATAACTCTGCAAGGCCTACTTATTATTTTCTCTTTACAAGAGGGGAATGAATCACAGCAGTTAAGTAATGAAGTGAGTTGATAAAGGCCACAAAGGGAGCCAGTGTCACAGCCAGGATCAGAACATAGGAGTCCTTTATTCCTTGTCCATCATGCTATTAAGATGCTTCTCCTTGTGGCCAAAAGTCAAAATGGCTGCTCAATGGAGAGGTCAGCTCAGCTGCAGGCTATCGGCAGCAGCAGCAGCTGCCTGAGTTATACTGCCATCCACAGCAACGAATTGATATCAGGTTCTTCTAAAAGCTGAGGGACCTGAGAATTTCACTGAACTCAAAGGTGAAGCCTAGAATTATGAATACCCCATGATTGTTAAGAAAATCGGACAAATTTTCAAACCCAGCAATCAATTAATATTTTCAAGCCTGTTTTTATACAGAGAAAGCTTTTAGTTTTAAGAAAAGCTCCCAGCCTAAATTCAGCACTGACGCTGCTAAGCCCTGGGGAATTTGTGATTATGGGCTTTACAGGGACCAACCCCTGACTTTTCCCATAACTTTGTAAACCAACCTGAAGTTCTCCCCTGTACTCTGCTGTGTGTGTGTGTGTGTCTGTGTGTCGGGGGTGGGGAGGAGCTCTCTCACTCTTCCCCAGACCACAAACATTATTAATTATTTCCAGCCAAGCCTTCAGTTTACTAGGCACTGTACATACACAGAAGGTACAGTCCCTGCCCCAAAGAGTTTTCAGTCTCAGCTATACAAACTCAAAGGTTATTGTCTGTGTCTCCCACATCTCCATCCTCATGCTCCAGTTTTAAGGAGGCCAAAAGCCATTTTCTACAACTTAACTTTCCGGCAAAAATTCTAAAAAATCCCAAAAGAACAAACCAACCCCCAACAATTAGTCCCTTTAAATTCTATCATCCCCATGGTACATGTGAAACCTTCTCTGACCCTACCTCCAGCTAATCACAAAAATCAGGGTTAACACTGGTGTCGTCACCAGCCTCCTCTCTTCTTTTTTGATCCAGGAGAAATGGGTGGACTTCCTATCAGGCAGGTGTTATAAGATGGCTAATGTATATGCATCACCACTGCCCTCTACTGGCTGGAATATCAGACCTGCTTAAAGGTCTGGTTCTGTGGGAGCCCCAAATGGTGCAGGAAGGGGAGAATTACCAGCAGCAGTGTCATATGGAGAGGATATGCTAATACTGGAGAGAATTATCAACACTGATAATGATGGACATGATAGAACTCACTCCAGGCACTTACGTTCCCTGTTTTCTAAGGAACAGAGTAGGTCTAAGTATTTTCTTTCTTGTGTCCTGATGATGCCTTTAAACAAAGGCATGAGACACCAGAGTTACTGTGGGCTGGTGTAATGAGGTCCAGGTAAGATCCATTCACAGCATAGCAATTTGAAATACTCAGGTTCAGAATGTAAAGAATTATCAGGCATAAGGCCTAGTAACAAACAATATAAAGTCTGATGGTACAGAATGAGGCATCTTAGTGTATATTTTTATTCTGCAATAAAATATGAATCTATCAAACTGCATTAGTGAAACAATAAAATACATTGAACTCAGTTCAGGCTTGGTGATGTCAGTGGGTCAAATTCAGAGCTGAGTCTATTGCAAAGGAACTCTAAATTACAGTAATTTACACCTTTTTGGTAGCTCCCTCAGCATGTAAATTAAACCTCCTTAAACTCAGATTATTTTAGACACCTAGAAATTCAGGGCCAGAGTCAGAGCTGATATGTGAAGTGATGTAATTGCAGTTCAGTATGTAAATGTGAGTGTAAGAGAGTCTAAATTGGTATCAACTCTGTTTAATTTCCTTAGACTCACCTCTGAAATTTGGCACAATGGAGTTGCACCCATTTTTACCAAGCCTGAATTTGGTCTGTTAAGGCTAGTCTGATACATGCACAGTTGAAAAACCCAAGCAGCTTGCTTTCCTTTAGCCTATTGCCTCTAAAGCCAATTCACAGGGTTGAGTGAAGGAGATGTCGGCCAGTAGGCAACAAATTTTAACTTTTTCAATGTGCAGAATAAAGTTTAACAAAAACTATGCATTTGACCAGCTCAGATTTCAGTGACAGTTTCCCAGATATATAGCTCTGAGAGTGATCCTATCACATAATCAAATGATATGTAGATTTCAAGGGCAATATCTTACAAAATCAGACAGAGGGTGCTCAAAGCTTTATAGAACATTAAACAGATCTGTGCTGCAGAGTTTCGAGAACAGCATTAGTAAGAACTCCAGCTCTCTAGATTTCTATAAGGTGCCAGTCTCCAAGGTATCTAGGCATCCACTAAAGAATACAAAATGTATTCTGTAAAGGATTTTGCTCTCTGCCCTATGAGTTGGCTTCAGTTACTTTGTGCGTGTAAACGTGGTGTAGATGGTACAGCTTAGATGTCTATTGGAAGGTACATCATTTGTTTCCTTGTTGTTGCTTTAAAAGCAGTATACCAAGTTGTGTGTATTGTACATTAATGACATTTAAGTAACGTATATAGCACTGTGTTTGAAATCCCCTGAGCAACAACGGTTTTGCTAAGTGGGTTTGTGTTACACTTTTGGAAGGTGCTTTGCGTGGCCCAGCTTTGGCCCATCTGGCTGGGCTTGCCTCATTCTGGGACACCTACAGTCTGGTTCCCTATATACTTCTTTCTGTATTCTAGTACATTCACACAATGCTTCCTGTGGGACCGATGGTCTACTTACTCTAATCTAATGTAGATATCAGTGCTCATTCCCATCACATTGGAGCTGCTGTATCCAGTTGTAATTATAGTGCTTTCTCTACTACTCTCAAGCAGCATCCTCTGGGTCTGAGGTCAGTGCATCAATATAAACTGGCCAAACAGCCTCATATAAACAATGTCTTCCACCCCTCTCCTCAATGACGTGCCTTATGGTAGGCTTGGAAAATACGGGATCTGATTTCTTTATCAGACCACTCTCTCTCATTTAATAGAGATTGCTTTCCCTTCCCAAGACTGGGAACCCTGGGTACAAAGTATGAAGTATATAATACATATTGCAGTATCACTGTATATATTTCATCTCTTGCCTTGTTTCTGAGCTACAAGTCTGTCAGTTCATATTTATTTTGCTTGCCTTTGATATGATGAAAGTCAAAATCAATTTGATACTTTAGCATGATGCCCTGCTCCCTCATATACCTGAATAGCTGAGGTAAGAGGGCGTGGTGCTCACTGGATCTGTAGTGGCTCATGACTGAGATTGTACAGATTAGAGGAGAGCTCAGGAACATGTCTTTAAAAGAGCTGCTACCACATATATGACCTGACTATCCAGATCAAAACCGGTGCCCCAGCTGCAGGGTGAGGAGAGAGCCAACAGGCAGCTTCAGAGGTAGAAGCTGGATTCAAACCAGATGAGACTTGAGAAAGCTTGCCTCCCTCCTGCTGTTGCTTTACAGGTGGATAAGTGGCTTTTGTAAGAATGGCTGGGCTGACTGTCATAAGAGTGAGAAAACTGGCAAGGGCCATGTGGTTTTTATCTTGGCAAATAGAAAGCAGAAGGGGGGCATCCAAAATGATGTGATATTGAAATTCATTGCATTCCAGCCTGGTGTGATCAATCATTTTGCTGGCATCCTCTTCCTATGGAACTGAATGGATCCCCCAAAACACACCCCAGCCAGAATGGGGCTGTGAAAAAAAGCAGTCTTACTTCTCTGGCCAGAAAAAAAGAGGAAAACATAATTGAAACCGGCAATTGTCAACTGCTGAACAAGAGAGTCAGTTGGTAGCTGGAACTTACAGATGATGTCTTCAATTTAAATAGGCT